ATGTTAAATTATCTGATTGCGATTTGTTCGGATAGATGAAGCATATACAACTTCATAAAAATGTAATTTCAAAAGTGATATTAGGCATCAAATATTGATTCAGTACTAAAACAAAACCTATCTGCAGAGATATTATGGCCTAAGAATTAAGATCTAATGACACCAATGGTATTCCATATTTCGAATAAAAACTGAAACGCATATGATAAACAAATTCAACTAGGAAGCTTTCACCACCAGCCCATAACTTAACTAAATTCGTTTTAATCCAGTTTTAAATAACACTCCATCGGTTTAAGGACCCTTGGTTTCAATTTGCCTCTTGGATTGAATCTAGTAGACAATTAATTTTGTACAGCTCTAGGTCGCTTACTTGTTTAATTCCTTATAGTATTTTGCATGTTAGAAACAAAGAAATTTAGATAACCTTAATTTCATATATAAGGAAGATATATATAAGTTCCCATCCAATATGACTTATTTTATTTATTTTAAGGGGGAAAATAGTTTAAAGGCCTTTATACCAGCATGTTTCATGTACAAAATTAAGTTAACTAATCAAATTAATTCGCCTAAAGGCAAGTTAAATACATCTATAAAAATGCAAACTATGATTTAGCCCAATCACCTGTCCTTCATATAACCGTCAGTGTCTTGATCGACCATGATTTGACGGCGAGTAGATGGTTAAGTATATTTCAAATGATTGAACAACTTACCTGTCTGCATCAAAGATAGTGGTAAGGCGATGAGCAATTATAAGAATTGTTGCATTGGAGAACCAGGCACTCTTGACAGTCTGCATAACTAGCTGATCCGTAGTCGGATCCATGGCAGAAGTAGCTTCATCGAGCACAAGTAGGCGCACTTGGCCACCTGACGAGAGGAAAACGCGAGCCAAGCATATGAGCTGACGCTGGCCGACCTAAAAAGGAATATAATAGCATAGATGGAAACATGAAAAGTTGATACTAGGATCACGTATATGGTTAGCTTGAACAAGTATAGATAAAATGCAACGCGGATAAGTAAGGATAAAGCCTTTCAAGCTGGGGACAAGAAGTGAACTATAAGGCAAGCTGGATAAAAGGAATAAATAGTCAAATCGATGCACTGATAACTGTTAGAAATACAATGATGTGAGGGAAAGAAATAACGAAGAAATGCATGCAAAAAGTGAAATATTGCAGTATGAAATGACAAATACGACAGCTAGAGATCGAAACAAATCTAAAGAGTTTAAGATTTAAGGAAGATAATAAATAACAAAATATACGGGTTCTTCAATAGTAGTAGGTTAAGCATTTATAATAACTCTAAAACCGAATATAAGGCATCTAGTTTCAGAGTAAGATAGTTGTGGTGCAATGAAAATTGCTGTTTTTTTTCATATGAATTTGTAGAATGAAAGAATGCACGCATTGCCTAGAATTTAAAGGATAGTTAAAATGGATGAGATAGGAAAAACAAGAATATTTTAAAGCAAATAAAAATATGCATCATGATGGAGTTAGGTAAAACGAATTTTAACGTAGCTAATATCTCTGTGAGAGTAATAGGAATGCTATCTATAAAGTAAATTAATTATGCCTCATAGAGTTGTTAATTTCTAAAATGATATTTAAGACCAAATATTGCAACCGAGAACGCTAAGCTCCAGTGAACCACCTCAAGGGTTAACGAAAGAGCCCGATTTGAGTTAAGCAGAATAGTAAACAAAGGGGATAAAGAACCGGGTGCAGATTAAGGCATAGGTATTTAGAAGAACAATACATCAAAATATGGTGGAGACGATGAGGATATTCAACTTTCAGATACCAATATACTAATAGATTTAACTCACCGAAAGATTTGACCCAGCTTCTCCACATTCGAAATCAAGTCCTTTGGACAATTCTCGAGCCCAGAGGCCAAGGTGGGATGCATCAAGTGCAGACCAAAGCTCGACATCTGAGTGCTCCTCTAGGGGGTCTAGATTAAAGCGAAGACTTCCACTGAACAAAGTGGACTCCTGAAAGATGTGAAAGTGAGAAAGTCTTTGGACATAAGCGCAAGTATGCAGTGACACCATGATATTAGCATTTGTGAAGATACTTCAAGATATGAATCATGCAGTAATCACTAAGAGGCCAAATAAATTTCCGAATATAGTTTCGAGTTCCCAAACTTTTAATCGTTAAGACCTATCAAAAATAAGGAGTAGACAACTAATTATGGACAAATTCTGAAAGAACTCGAATACTAACTAAAATTAGGACCTGGGGTACCAGATATGGCAAGAAGATGACTTTCCTTAAGATGGGTGAAGGCCTGGTCCAAAGGTGAGCCCGTGTTAAATATTTCAAGTAGTCTGAAAGCATGAATTTTAGCTACTTTGAAGGCCAGCTTTTCTCTATATATAAATTAGCTAAATTGCTTTGCGATCTAGATAAAAATCACAATTTGACTCTTAAATGATCCATTCAAGTCGAGGAAGAAGGATTTTAAGAACATCCTAGTAATAGCCAAGAGTAGGAGGGTAGATATCTCGTCTGTATTCGCCCCTTTCCATCAATTTAAAAAATGTTTTCCCAAATCTATTTCAAGGGAAGTTTCAGAGTTCTTCATTTATGTAAAAAGATTCAAAATGAACCAACTATTCTTATCTCCTAAGGGTCTTGATTTCAGACGAATTATTGTAATGCAAAACGTTGAACTATTTTATTTAATGTCCAATAGTCAGCTAATTATGCAGAATATCGTAGAGGAATTTTGTATGGTTTTCTCAGTAAATGATAGGTATCCACCAGCTATAAACTCCAATAAGCTTCTGAATGACCGATATGAGCCTATCATAATCACTTAGATCGGTATACTAAGGACCGATTGCAAATGAAAAACGGGGCGGAACTATTTATAAAACCGTTCGTATAGTGTAAAATGAAAAATTGCTTCAGATCAGATACTTATGGCTTCGCACTAAGGTGTCATATAAGTCATATTTGTTTTCTAATAAGAGGCGGATTGCAATCAATTTGAGTTCCTGTTGTTGACAAGATTGATAAATGATATGAGGGCTCGTCTAACAAAGATATGATTAAATTGCAAACAGATTTTGATAACCGAATTTGTATAAAGAGCACATCCAAGTCAGAAAAGGTATGCCCCAATAGCTACTTATGAAAGAGATGTGTCAATAAGGCAACCTAGAATTCTCTCAATAGTAATTAAAAGCGAATAATCTTTCAGTGACCAGTTAAGAAGAGTTAGCTGATACTTTTCGACGAATAAGAAAAACTTTTGGATGACAAAAATAAAAGTAATTTAGTAAGATCTGTTCAGTTAAACATGAGAAGTTCAAAATGAATCAAAAGCTAACGAATTTAGCTAGCCTTTAGTATAGTAATCCAAAAGAAATTTTTAAAGTAAGTAACAAAGATAAAAAGTGAAATAAATCCCTAATATAAACCCAGCTACAAGACCTCTGTTTCATAGTCTCGTAACTTACAATATTACACACCAATTAACATGTGATCATGAACCGACCACGTGAAAATTATGCTGAGGTCCTCTGTTTATAAAGTGTCTTTATCTTCTTCCATAGGTATAGGCTTATTCGGCAAGCTCCTCTTTCTTTAATTCCCAGATGTTTAGTTTTAGTCAAGATAATGAAGTTCGGGAGACTGCGACCACACAAAAGGCCTTCATACATTAGATTTAAATATTTTGTCCAATTTTTATTAAATAATTAGGTTAGAGACAAGTTTTTCAGGCTGTGATTAATCCTACAATCGGAATAAATAGATCACCATTTACAAACCTGAGGTAGTATGCTGAACCGCGACCTGACTTCATGAAGACCAAGAAGAGAAATATCAACACCATCGACGAAGATTGGCCCACTCCGATCGCTAGAGTGCAATGGTTCCTGGACGTAATTCGAATTCGGCATTTCATCCCTCTGTGCCTCAACTAACCGAAAAAGCGAGGCAGCTAAAGTTGATTTCCCAGCTCCGGTGCGTCCACAAATACCAATTAAGCGCTCTCTATGGCTGCCTCCAAGTGATAGTTTTAGTGACCTTAATGCTTGCAGAGTATGAGATGTCGTTGAATTGGGGCAAGAATCTGGTCCTGTTCCTATGGTCGAAGATGCAGTAGGATTTATGAGGCGATAATGAAGACTCGCGTTATCGAATACAATGCGACAAAAAGGAGAGGGCCAATCAGGAGAGGGAGGACTGGCAGGTCCATGAGACCAACTGGCTTCTTCTTCAATCTGAAAAATGGAGGATGTAAGTAATTATGAACCGAAAAATATTTAATCGAATATATGAAGACCAAGATGGTGTGGCCCTCGATATGGTCGCAGCCTCCTTTCGATTTATAGTTGTTGATCTAGTTTACGCAAATTGGTCTTGTTGTCAGGGGGACTTAGTAGAATGCACCTTGTCTGAAGTACCCTGCCATAGTAGTTCTCATAATTCCCAGCATCAGACCGTGGACTTGGTATATTCTCAGATGTTTCGCCGGCATCACCAGTGAGTTTTGCCATTCTCCGCACCAAGCTACAAACGCGTAAGAGACAAGTAAAGCCAATCATTTGACCAACGTTCTGCTAAAAACGGTACACTAGACTCCTCTTTCTGTCCTGGCCCATCTATCTACTCCTCACCCTCCTATCCAACTCCCGCCCTATCACAACTTCTGACTTGTTTACATTCCAGTTGTCAAAAGGCGTGCCTTAGTTTAATCGAAGGTATAAAGACCAAGATGGTGTGGCCTTTTGTGTGGTCGCAGTCTCCTTTCGTT